CTTTCAGTATATACAATAATTTTTAAAATAGTGAAAGAAGAATTTAACAAATTTTTTTTTCATTTAAAAATTAACTGAAATACATAATTTGAGACTTAACTACATGGTAAAGAATATTTTGTGTTTATGTTGATATCGATCTTTGTGTAGAAAAATTTTTGTATTAAATTTTTAACATATTCATAACATACATATTTAACATACATAACGTATTAATTTAGTACACAATTTTGTTATAAAGTTATTATTCTACGTTGAGTTCATATTCACTATTTCTAAGTGTTAAAATAACACAATTTATATGTCAAATTATATGTCAATTTATATGTTAAAGTCAAATTCTTAGTATACATATTTTAAATATAAAGTGTACAAATAACTTATGTTATTTGCTTACATATTTAACTTGTCTTAAATTGATACAAAAAATAGGATGAATAAATTGGGACATGTGAAATATGCTAAATTTAACACAACAGTTTTTTAAGTGTAGGTTACTTAAAATAACATATTTATTGCATTGTAAGAATAATGCGTTGCTATTAAAAAAATTATTTAGTAATAAAGCGTAGCGTAGAAACGACTTCGACGAATATAGAGTACACCTCAGGTACGGCTTAACTCACACAGATCGATATCTCGGGAAATCCTCGTGCGACTGAGATCGTTGCAGCCGATAAGCGACTTTCCCCTGGACCATTTCAGACGCTGACTTTCCTAAGAGATTATTATGAACCCTTAAACGTACCGGGGAGGCTTTTAAGACTCTTCTCCCGGGATACTTGAATTGCTGTGGTATGACGAAGCCATTTTTTGTTTCTCCCCTGTGTTGTTCCAGCTGCATTACTTTTGTTTCGCATAATTGGAAATTTCCGACTATTTTGACGTCCTTTACGTGAAAAAATAATTGTCAGTAGTGAATAAATCTAGTACATACAATATATTGTAATTATACAGATTTACTTGGTAAATATTTTTGTATCGTTGTATACCTAAATATGTGATTAAAATCTTCGAAAATCATTTTGCTCCATAAGTACATACTTACTATTGTAGATACATTCCTCACCTCACGGAGAGTATATACATCATAATATATATAATTCTGAAATAGTCAGCTGTAATTAGGAACGGCGCGCGAAGAGAAATTTTGCGGCCATATATCTGAAGGAACTGCGTTCTCGCGTGCATTTGGAAGGTGAGGGAAGCAGTTTTCGGGAAACCATGCGCAGTTTGCATGGGGTTGCTATAAGGGGCGGGTCGCATCCCCATGACAACCGTTGACCCCGCTGATGAATCGACTTCGTGCGCGGCACATCGGTACACCGGTGAAATGCGATTCCTGATTACCTCGCAAACTTGGGTTTCCTAATTAACAATCTACGAGCGCATTCGTTGCTCGAGTTACTAACTTTCGTGGGTTCCTACTTGGTCGCGGGCACAGGAAGCAGCTTTGTAATTCGAACGCTGATAGACGCTTTTTGAAGATAGGCTCAATTATCGTATGGTGTTACCAGCTATGAATACACAACTAATCATACTTTAACGTCTAAAGACGTGATTAAATGAACACTTGAGTTTTCCAAGCTCAGCAAATACTTTAATGCAATATTTGCTACATTAATATATGATAATTTCAGAAAAAATATGCAATTGCTTCAATCAGTTATTATTATTTAATAGATAATCGATTATTGAGTGAGTAATCATGTCTATATACACATAATTACGGCAACATACACTTCTCAAAATTACTGTGTCGTCGTTCTACCATCTTTCTCGAGCGACAAACGATACTTCCATCCATAGGAAGAAATAAATGTCACTTCCATGGGCAGGAAGTAAAGGCGTTAAGCGACATCGCAGTTCCGTGACGTTCGCGGCGAATTTAAGACGCGTCGACGACATCGATGGAAAAATTCACCATCCTCCTTCGGGGAACTTTCTGTGGTGAGATGAAGCGCGAAGTCGCGCGCGCGCACCTTCGCGTCTCCGACAAATGTATCGCAAATTGTCGTCGCGAAGTGCTTAATGCGGCCGTCGCGCGAGGAGACGCGAGTCGCGATGGCGGAGGAGAAGAGGACAAGGATGAGGACGAGGTGAAAAGGAACTCTTAGGGGAGAGACCAGCCATTTCATCGCGCCCGCCTACGCTGGAATTTCGAGTCCGATGACGAGTCGGTGGTGCAACGAGAGCGTCATCGGCGAGCCTGACGGCGGCCCTAATGGCTCGATAATGTCGCTCGCGGAGATAATCGAGCGTGAGATCGTGCGGCCGATTTTCCTCGTCGCGGATTTTAGGGGCGAACCGATTTTCCGCCTCGTCTCGAAAGTACACCGTGCACTTTACGGAGATGCGACGGAGATGTCGTTGTGCTTTTAAGATCGCGAGAAATATAACGTGTCGCAACGGAGGATTAACCTCTTGTATCTTATGTGAGATATATTCCAAGTTTCTTGCATTTTATTCTATATACAAATTGTTCGCAAATTTAGAGTTAACTTTGCTTGAACAAAAATCAGCTCAATACTTCATTTAACCAACATTAAAGTTCTGGATATCATTAAGAATTAAATATTATAGGAAAATTGAATATAATTTCAGTACTTTTGCATATTAAAATAGGGATACGATTAATACTGAATTCCTTAATTAATAGGGAAAGAATTCGTTACTTCTTTATCCCAAGAAAATAAGTAATGTTTTAATGTTAGCAGCATGTGTCAGTCAATACTACGTATCGCCAGATTGGTCCAGCAGGGACTTGACAACGGATCGACGCTGCTGCAACATAATGGCCCCAACAACCCACGAGGGGTTGGGTCGGTAGCTCGGTTGCCCTCAAATCATCGCGGGGGTGTGAGGCAAATGACGTTCGGCCACGCAGAAGTAACGTGATAATGGCTGCCATGAAAGGCCCCTACCGTGATATCTGTTGCTTTGATGTGTCCTCTTGATGCCTCTATGCCTCTCTCACCCTTGGGCGACTTCCATTCTTTTCACCGGCACTTTAAATCCGCATAACCGATTCGTCGGGTTGATAACGTTTAGTGCTGTAAATCTATTAATTGTACTCTCTACGACCACGATCGACGACCTCTAATATGAAACTCTTTTGCGACATCAAAAGAGGTGATTTTTAAAGGAATGCCAAAATGAATGAACTCCAAAAATATTGATAACGTAAAGGCGATCATCAAAACGTCATATCAAATAAGTACTGATATGGTCGCGCTACATTTTTGTATTTTTTATACAAGTAAATCTTATATTAATATATGCTGCTCTGTTTTATCATTTTTACCAAAAAATATAACTAGGCATATATAGAAATTTTTTGCAAATTTTTTGTATACTTCTAAACTTCTAAATTTGGTTGTAAAAAGGTACAGCAATGTTTTTTGTAATTTTTCTAAGCGAAGTTTCTAAACACGTTCAGCATATACGAACTGCAGAATTTTTGAATCAAGTAAATACTTATGATTAATGACAGCTCGAGGTGTAAATTTTGAAAGTTATTTATCGTTTTCGTCACATATTAAACAATTCATTATTGCACATACTTTTATTGTGTAAAATTATATTATAATTCTGTGTATTCCATACAATGTAAACTTTGCGAAAAAAGGCCAGTATTTTGTACTTTTCAATAGCATCCCCTTAATATAGAACTATTTGCACGTATAGAGAACGTGGAATACGAATATTGCAATAAATATTAATTTTACTTAGTAAATTTTAAGGAGTGTCGAATCTGTCGTAACAAGTTATATGTTCAACAAATAAGAGAATTTTAAATTGTGAAACAGTCAGTCGAGAGTGACTGAAAAGAGTTGTAGTGCATTAAAAGATACTTACCGTGGGAAAGAACGTTGTCGCAGTGTGCCGCCATAGGTCGCTGAATGGTACATTCATTATCAGTGACTTAGAAAGGGCCGATGTAACGCGAGGCGGGCATCAACAAAGATACTGAACGATTCTGCGAACGCATGAGCCGGTAATCTCCCATTCAGAAAAGTTAGCCGAGCATCTCGGGTTAATTCGCTACTTGCATTCCGCTCAATGGCCACACGTGAGCGTTACAGACGCCAGTAATGAATGGGCACGCGACGAGATGGGGTTGCTTTCGCTTGGAGTGACGCGTTTCTCCAAGTGTCGCAGATACGAGTACATTCGCGTGAATTTGCAACAATGTGACGAAAATTACATAACTCTTGTTGATCTTTGGAGAGAAATGTCCGAAAATAAAATCCAAAAGCCGTGTGTCATGAAAGAATCTGTTAATAAGCGATAACCCGACGAAGTCTCGCGCTTAATTCAATTCTCAAAGTATTTTCCCAACGGTTTTGTTTCACCACCTCGACGCGAGCTTAAAAGACGATATAACATTTCCATCTCGCCTGCATTGGTAACAATTTGTTACAAGCTTCATCCCGCGGCTCTTTAATCAAAGTCTACCGCCTGTCGTTCGCAAAAACGCGGCTCCATCTTCTCTCCGCGAGCAGCAAAAATCGATAAACACAATCTTCATCGACTGCAGTCCCTCTCAGCTGCTCTGAAAGTGCTCACGGCTCAACAATTGAAGCAACGATTGCCCGCGATTACGGTGTATCCCTATCAAATGAAGATCGCCGAAAAAAGGGGGAATTACTTAGCCTCCACCACCGTCGGCGGTGCAGGTCGTCGCCGTCCGTCGAGGGACAGACGCGTTCGTAGTCGCAGTTTGTCGGCCAATGGGACCAGACAGAAACGCAATCGCAATGCAGGCCAATCCCTTTGCCCCGTTCGTCCACCCGCTCTCGCTCGCCCTCCCGTGCCCGGTAATGACAATCATTACCGGGGAATGATTGCAGCGTCGAGGCCGCCAGCGCGCCAGCCGTGCTATTGGGGGATGGAAACCACCTTATAGAGTCTCTCCTCGGTCCTCGATGCGAGCGGATTGTCACATGCTCCTGGCATGGCAGAGCGCGTTTCCTCTTCTTCGCTCGCACTTCCTCCGTTCGATTTTCCGGTGGAGAACTTTCTTCGTGGTGTGAGGCACCGAGACATGGCGGCCGCTCAGCCGGGGCGAACAAAAAAAGTAGCGATCGGAAGAAAGTTACGAAGACTATGTCGGGACCACATTTCCGGGACACCCGCGTCACGTTATCGCGATACTTCTTTTCGAGAGTGAACGACGTAGTAGCGTAGTTTGTCTTTTTGTTCCTTTTTCCTCGCCGTCGACTCATGAATTCTTCGTGGCGTGAGTGTATTGTACGATGGAAAATGGCGGCTGACCACGTGTGTTGTTCAGTAGATGTGTGACGTAGTGAAGTTGAGAGTTTAGTGATCTTTTGTATGCAATGACCGTTCGAGTTGTCCCGGTTGGCTTATTCGGCAATACGATTCGGAGCTTGCACGCGTGTTCCGGCCGGACATCACCTTCCATGGCACGAGAATCATCGGGTAAGGACATCAGTTGTGTTTCTGATGACTTATTCGCGAATTGATTGCGGCGATGTATTGCCAACCGTACGTTTAATGTTACGTAGCATTGCCGTGGCTTGCTTTAGAGCGGCCCTCAACGAGTTCCAATGAAAAGGCTTTCTCGTGCGTGCTTTACACGATGAAGACGTAGCGGGGCTGCATGGCACACATGTCGCTTTCGATGCATGTACGCTTAGCATTGTTGTCGGAATTGGCGAATCGCGAGTCGATCACCATGCTCATGTTTGCTGATTCCTAAATTTCCTTCGAGGTTCATATTTATCGATCATTGCGCATCTGTTGCAGCCACATTTAATGATACACCTTACACGGACGTAAGGTGGCGTCGGATCCACATGGCGTCCGTCTCGACGGTGCTATGAAAGGGACCGCGAAAGCAGATCGAGCAATCGTAAACGCATTTTCCAAAGGAGAGAATGCACGCGGTTGCTGGAGGTTACGTAAACGCGCGGTGATCATCGACGAATATCTTTTCATCAAAGGACTTCTCATGTATCGCAAATTGGACGGAGCGAAGAATTATCTATCACCAGGTGATTATGTCAATCGGTTCTATCGTTATGCTCGTATGGAAAAATTCCGAAGCACTCCAAGTGGCGCGCGATAGGCGCACAATTCAATTACATAACATATAGATTCATGTGCGTGGTGTCTCTTTTAGTTATGCAAGAAGGCAAAATCCGCGTCTTAAATGTCAGTCCAACGAGAGTCATTCTTTAGGCGCTACTCTATTGAAAAACTGAAGAAGAAACGTTTCTCTACTGATAGGTCAGCGTCGGATGCCACGACCCTTTAGTAGAAATAAAAATTCGATGAAAAGTCACTGTGTGGAAAAAATTAAAATAGCTGTGTTAACGCGCAACAGAGCTGTAAGGCAGCTGAACTTGTCTGAATAGCAGGATCGCTCCGCGAAATTATTCTTTCTTACGTTTCCGATCTGCGAAATACTAGCAATTAGCTATAATAATCGCTTTCGATATTTCGGTTCAGCTGTCGCAAGTATTGGCATCGCGCCGAACCGTACAAAACTTGGAAGCCCAACCAGACTGCAGCGTTTACGACTTGAGAGTCGGACAATAATTGTCGCTTGAGAACCGATCGTTTGTGGATACCTGCGAATTTATGCTGTCTGCCCGACTACGAAGGACATCGCTGGGCTTGGAAATAACTCTGAGAAACCATTTCGCAAGAACTACGCGGGAGAGATTCGAAGGTAAGGATAATTTTCTTACGCAAGATATAGCCATTGTGTGTAAGTCTTGTAAATCTGTTTTGTTTTTTGTATTTTAATTGAAAGTAATAAGACAAGAATCTATTAGAGAAAGTAGCTGACAAAAGGCTGCACGATGAATAATCCGATGTGTGCGTAACGTCCGCATTTAAAGAAATAACAACTATATAAGTGACAACTATTACTTTCATTAGCTTTGTATGTAGAATTTATATATATAGTTCAATAAACTATATTTTGGTAGTTATTGCAACTAAAGCTAAATAAACTACATTGTTATTATAGAGTTATCATATCCATTTAGCTTCAGTTACGATAATAATTTATTAAACTGTATTCATTAATTTCACATACAAAACTCGTATAATTGTTATCACAATGTTTATTTTTTAAATGCAAACATCTAACTATTGATACTATCCAGGTATTATCGAAATCTTTTAGGTACTTTCCGATTATCCGATTATTTTGCAAATTATTCGAGTACTCGAGTAAAGCTAGAATAGGTAGTATGTTAGAAAAACAAAAGATAAAACCAGCTGCTGCAAAAAATAAAATAAAAAATGGTAGATAGACATTACCCATCGAAAATTGTTCGATTTTTTCTCATGAAGTATCTAGATATTCTGTTATTTCAACGTAACGCTTCAGTAGCCGTGCAGTATTCGCATACATGGAAAAAAGGGATATGGTGCACATAACCAGAAGTATTTAGTTGTGAGCAATACAGTTACATCAACTATCTTTGTGTGATGGTTAATATGACTCAGTTACTTCGGTACATCAACTACATCAACGTAGTTGCCCGTGATCTGGTTGTAGTAACCAGAAATCGGTTGGGGTGACATTTACTGTAGATACACTCTGGTTAGAGCAACCAGGTATCATCACTGTTGCAACGCCAGCAACTCAGCAATTGCTCTGTGGTTGCAGTGACCACATAATTAGTTGTTTCGTACTTTGCTATTGAATCTGATTGGCACAATCAGACTTATGTATGGACAAACCGTACTGTTTTTTCTATGTACTTAAGTACTTGATAAATGCCCAGGAATTTGGGTATAAAAACTAAGCAGTTTACATTGACCACTAATGATAATGGTCCAACTGTATATCTCAAGCAGACACGGAAAGCACTTGATAAAGCAGTAAGCGAATTAAAGTTTAGGCGGATTATTATATGAAGTAAATAAATCACAATAATTGCTGTGTACAATCGATACGCCGATGAATTCGAGGACGCAATTGGCAGAGCAATCGCCGTTAGAATCAATCTCACTGGCGCATTAACTTTCAGATCGTGTCATGATAATGGAAACGATAGCACAAACTCTGCGAGCGATTATATTTCCACGTTCTCGGAACGCCGCGAAGTCGATCGCTTTCGACATTATCTGATCTTGGCTTATAATGATAGCGGCTGTTGTATTTAATCGTTACGCGCGGTCGAGCGTTATTTCTATCCTTTTGGTGAAACTGTAATTTCTTCCGGAAAACGGTCGACTCAGTCGAGATCAACTCGATATCGATGTAAACGCCTGGACGCCAAAAAACATAAGAACCACTCTCGTCGAAATTATAAAGAATAGACGACAAACAAGCACGATTTCCGCGAAAGTACGTGTGCAATTAGATGATGCCATCGCTGGGATGAAACTTTATTTTTTATAGATTACAGAACGCCAGTTTGACGTGTTCTTGTAACGGAACTTTCTCTCTTGTGATGATATGATTTTGCTGATAAGAAAAGATAGTCTTATATCAAGAAGGAATATAGAGATAAAGATTGCTTTTTTTACAGCGACTTGATCTGTTTCCGAAATCGCAAAATTATCTCTTTCAGTAAAATTATTTAATGAATAGAGCAACTTCAAGTATTAGGAAATACTATTTGACTTTTGGAAAATAAATCGAAAACTGTTCAAGAAAACTGAAACTAGTATTCTTTAAGTTGAAATCGTGATATCCTATGTCATCGGACCATTTCTTAAAAAATATTCGCTTCTCTATAATAAATCTATTTTATTTATTTTTTTACGAAGAGACAGGATCCATACGTAGACTAAGTAACTTTTGGAGTGAAATTTTGAGCTACAAAAAATTCGTTCCCTCAGTAAAACTATCTTCTCGGGAGAGCAAACGTCAATGTTACAACTAAACTACTACGCTAAGCAACCATCATCATTCCCAATAATGACAGATGTCCGCGCTTCTACGGTCTGCCATTCCGGTCAGTCCAGTTTCTACTACATGCTTATGCCTCTTTCTCACAACTATCGATTACAAAGTATCAGAGCTCGCCGAGCTATGTTTAAGGAAATGAAAGAACGTACGGCTCAATGGTGACCGCGTTCTGGTCCACGCCCGTGTGTGATCGTGTACTCCGCGATCGTATACGCCGCTACTGCGTGTATGCGCCATAATTTCTGTTGTCGTAAAAAAAGGAGTTTAAGAAAGCGACATATAAGCTGTCCCAGCTGAATCTAATTCGTATCCGGTGCGTTGCGTTAACATCGCCGGTACCTCCTTATCCGCCATATTACTTTTATAGAATAGCGGTTCTTCCGCTATCGCGAACGGTTGTTGCCTCGCGTTCTCTGGTACCGAGAATTATATTACTGCGCTCTGTTATAAGAAACAATTCGTTGGAAATATGAATGTTTATTCTCTTGAATTCTTCTTTTCTATTTTTTATCAAAATACATTGCTATATAATTTAATAAAAGGCGAAATTTGCATACGGAAGCTGTCTATCCGGGGTTATCTATCCACGGGAATTATGTATCCACATTACACTGTTATTTCAGGTGTCAAGAAGTAGATATCTTCACCATTCTAACAAATCCAACAGCAGTTGGATATATATTTGATTATATTTTTGTTAAGTTATATTTATATTGGATTATATTCGAGTTTTTTGGAATATTTTGGAGTATTTTTACTCGGATCTCCAGTTCTTTTACCTAAGAATATCTGAGAAATATTCTGGATAGAAAATAGTTGAACAGTACTGACAGTAATCGAGAGAAATCAGTAATTAAAAGCGTGAGAACGTAACGTTAACAGATGTAATTACTATTAAACAATAGTTGAATGATATTCATGAATGATAATGTTATTCATAACTTTTTAATATTTTTTGCGATTTTTCAAGTAAACTTCGCCAAGAAGCTCCTTTCTCATGAAACACAGGATCATCGTCCAATTCATCACGATAAGACTAATTGTACTCAACAAACTCCCACAAGAATGTTCCCCTATCCTTCCCATCAGTCCACTTTCTATCTCGATGCCTCCAGTCTCCTCTTTCTCTAGAATATTTTTCTCTAGAATATAAAATATCAAATAGTTCTTGGAGATATGTTCATGGGAATAAAAGGAAAGACAAGATATAACTTTTTGTCGGCCGCATTAGTATCCACGCCGGCGTGCATGCACTCGTCTTTCCATTGCGACGCGCACGCTCTCTCGCGCGCCCGCGTTGCTGCACATGCACACGTACACAGAAGCGCAGTACTCGTTCTCTTGGCGTGTGCGTCTTGCCGCGGAAAACATAATGATGGCGAGCGAGCGAAGCTGCGAGCGTGCGTTCGTTCGTTCGTTCGTTCGTTCGTTCGTTCGTTCGTTCGTTCGTTCGTTCGTTCGTTCGTTCGGCCGGGACTCGCGTTGGAAACCGGCGATAAGGAGGGAGTGTCTACTGCCGCCATAATGATAGCCCTGAGCGCCTCTCCGACTCCGTTGCACCGCGCCGTGCTCTCTACTGCGACGGCAATGTACGCCGCGCGTATGCACATGCACCGAGCGCGGAGTTCTGTCGCTGCTGCACGACAATGTGCGTTCGTGCACGCACTTTACATGCCATGCATTGGTAGTAGGGATCCATTTTTGAGGCTCCGGATATCTTTCGGATACTCGCATGTCTCGTGCGAAACGATGTAACTGAAGCAATCCTGAAACTGGGAGAACTCATTGCTGACTTCGAGTGGGTGAATGCACAGGAATTTACAACTTCTCTTTGAACTGAAGATGTAGGGAGATATTTTCCAAGGACGAAGTACACCTTTTGATTAGCGGCCTCGAGGCGCGATATGAATAACGAATGTTGGTGAAATTTTTATCGTAGAGTTATATTGCCCTTAGAGGATTACATGTGTGCGCGGGATTTATTCAATGTGTATCGACGTGGGTTTAGATGAAATGTAAGTTTATTGCTTACGCAACGTTGCCGACGGACGAACATAATGTTCATGGGATAAGAGTAAAGAGTAAAAAATGCATGTAGTCGCGTGAGTTCTCCGATATTAACCCACTACGTACACCTCTAGGGTGGCCTCAGGGACGTCACGTAGTTACTTATTGATGAAGCGAATTAATTTTTAAGTGGCCGCTCGTGCGTTGCACATTATTCGCATAGCAGTGAGCTACATAAGGAAATTTTCATGCTTAATTATTATAACAGCAGTTTTTATTGTAATATCGTTTTTATTATTGCGCCGTATAGAGAGGTCTATCCGGTTACGTTAATATACCGTCATCTCTACTGTAATGCATCAGAGGATGACTACGAGACAAGTACGCTTCATTCTTTGAAATAGTTGTTTTGTGATTACGATTGATTCAATGAGAGAAATTCTCTCTCTCTCTCTCTCTCTCTCTCTCTCTCTCCTCTCTCTCTCTTTCTCTCTTTCTATCTCTTTAACACGTAAACAGCCGAATAAAGTTCAGCATAGTTATCTCGATTCTAATAAGACGATGTTACATTCTTCGGTGTTACGACATCAATAATTTTCAGCCCGAGAGGTTAACATAGCGCACATTATCAGCTGAAAAAATCGCGCCATAAAGCTCCCCGATAATTCGCGCTCAACCCCGATCGTGTAGGACTCGAGTCACCGATCGAAGGGCACCACACCCTTGGCCGGTTCCGCGACGTAGCTGCGAGGGTTACATCGGGCACAAGCGAG